CGTGTCTCCCAGCCAGAAGCCGTGGGCTCCAAGCTCCCCCGGGAACATCTGCACGTAGATTTGTGTGTCCTTCTCCCGAAACAGGCCACGGGCGTGCAGTGTGTCCTAAAATGGCCTGTAATTTTGGAAAGCTTTGCCGAGGGCAGCGTTCGCTCCCCAACCGGCAGGCCGGCCCTGGCAGCTGGGGCTGGGGTGTGATCCAGAGCCGTCTGGGAAGCAGACGGGATGCTGCTGGGAAGGGAGCAAGTCCCAGATTTTGGGAGGCAATTCTGCAGCCCCCCGGGCAAGCACCAAGATCAGAGCAGGGCACACCGTGCCTGGGCAGGCTCTGCCTGGCCCTGCTGCCTCTGCCCTCCCCAGCACAGCCCAGCTCCAGGGAGGGAGCCGGGTGCTCCTCGCCAGCCATGCCCCCGGCACTGCCCTGCTCTACCGGGGTGCTCCCCGATCACCGGGTGAAAGCCAGGGGCTGCCCAGCAGGGCCATACCTGCTGTCGCCAGCGTTGGCCACGTAGAACTTGCCCAGGGGGCTGCAGCGCGGGGGGGGCCAGGGAAGGGCAAGACAGGAGGGGAGCGGCTAGAACTGCTGGAACGAAGTGCAATGAAGCCCTCTGCACCCACACAGGTCCAGAGCCCAAAGCCTCTGCATCCTGAACCCCCCAAATACCAGACAGCGTCGTGGTGCCCTCTCCATGAGCCCTCCTGCAGCCCCCTCCTCGCTGCAGAGCTGCCTTTCACCAGAGGGGTCAACCCAAGGCAGACACGGATGGCACAGGGATGCTCCCGGGGGGTACCGGGGTGTCCCTGCGGGCGGGGGCTCACTCACCATGTGCTTAAAGGCGTTCTCGATGGCACCAGTCACCAGGCTCTCGTGAGAGACTGCTTTCTCCAGGTGGAACCGCGGCAGAGCATCATTGGGGACCTCCCCGTCATCCTCTGCGAGGGGTGCCTGGCTCAGCTCCACGGGGCTGGCCCTGGCATCGTGCGGGAGGCAGATGGGAGGCGGAGAGGGGTCCTGCAGGATGTCCACCAGGTCCCGGAGCTGCTCGCAGATGTGCAGGTGGAGCCTCTTGGAAGCCATGACAGCAGCACCGGTGCCCGCATGGCCGTCAAACAGGGCCCAATAGTGGAAATAAAAACCCTTCCTGCCCTGCGGGGAGAGACGGGAAGGTTCAGCGAGCCTGCGAGGAAGCAGACGGGCCCGGGAATGCGGAGCAGCCGGGGTCACAGCTGGGGACAGTGACACAGGGCTCTGCCTCCAGCGCGCGGGTCCCAGCCCAGGCGGGAGCGATGTGGGCAGCT